GTTTGGGGCGAAAGAAATATCAGGGAAAATTAAAAAAGTTTACAAGAAGTAAAAAATATTAGTTCATCTTTGGGGACTGGAGGTGGAGCTGAAAATGTGTATGTGCCTAAATTACCCTGGTACAATTCCTTAGACAGTTTTTTGAGAAAGTCTTCAGAATTTCGTACTACTTTCTCAAAATTGGTGAATATTTAGTAAACACTTTTTTATATCTAATTAGACAGTGACAAAAAGTCAAATTTTGTTTATTTTTTATTTCTAGAAAATGTTTAGATATTACAATAGCATTGCATTTTCTTGCCACGGTACAGCTCCGCGATTATTAAAATAATCGCAATACTGTTCACGAATTGAAATTGCTTTTCTGGTAAAGTTTCCGTTATTTTGCGAATTCAGATCTTCAAAGGCGCCACTTCTATAGTTTTCTCTCCATGTACTTGGTCGTACGCCAGATCCTGTTTCTTCATCTAAAAACTCTGGAGGAGTGTATGAGTTCAGCGATGTTTTTCTCAACCAATTATGTAAGATACACGTCGTTTTTACAATAACGTCTATGTTTTTGGGCGCTAATCCTATTGGCCTTTCGTAAATCCTAAATCGTGATACTAAAATACCAAATGCGTTTTCGACAATTCTCCTGCATCTGCCTATACAGACTATCTACAATTATAAATATTTTGCTCTTTTCATGAATTATTTCGTCGAGGGTATGGTTTCATTAGGTAGGGTTTTAGAGGGAAAGCTTCATCTTCAACAAAAACAGCATCGCTAGGCAAGTCCAGTGTATTTTTTTCGATAGCTTTTGTTAATGTACTTTCATTGAATGTACCACCATTGGAGTTTCTTCCTTTCGCTCCGATGTTTACATATATAAAGCAGTAGTCGTAATCAACACATCCCAAAAGAACAATACTGAATATATTTTTATAATTGAAAAATTCTGATCCTGTTCCTGGAGGACATTTAATCAGTATGTGTTTGCCGTCCAAAGCTCCAACACACGTAGGAAAATTCCATCTAGATGCAAAGCCAGTTTGTATATTGACCCATTCTTGTTTGGTCCTTGGTAGCTAAAAAACGAGTAACATTATTATTATTTTTAAATTTCAGATAGATGAGTCTACCCCAAATACACCTAACAGTCCATTTAATGTGTCAGTGGTAAATAATGATGAAACACATAGTTTCCAAATTTTAGACTCCGTTAGCGATATAGTAGATTTGACACCAAAGCCAACCTAAACTAAAAATACAAAGACCAGAAAGTTGGACCTTGATTCAGCCATTGATAGATTAGATGGTATTGATAAAAGATATAGGCAATATGAGGACGATTTGGACATGTTTGGGAATTATGTAGCGTCCAGCTTGTGCAAGCTTAATGAAAAAAATATGATATTTGCTCAGGATGAAATCCAGGCAACATTCTCAAAGTTTAAACTCAGAAATTTAAAAGAGACTACTCCAATGCCGGATTCTCCATTTTCAAGACCTGATAGCGATCTACAGTGGTGGAATGCAAGCGTGCACGATCACACTGCTAGTGATTTTATTTATATTTTTAATTATCTTTATGTTATTTTGATTGGTAATTAATAAGTGAATTACAAGCAAGACTGATGTTGAATAAATACATAAATATATTGATTTTGAAATGAAATAATAGTTTTTTATTCATACCTTAAGAAAATATTCCAACGCTATATAAATAGCTTGCAAAACTTTAACCAAAAAGCTTATGGTACACCTAGGTACTGTAAATATTTCTGATAACGTTTGAAAGGAATCCCCTGTAGTCAGAAACTTTAAAGTTATTTCCAATTTTGTACGAGCGACTATAGCTTGACGCATATTTGTATCTTTTTTTGTATAGACGGTCCAATTTCTTGAAGTAAATATGAAAATTTGGTTTTCGTAACTCGAAACATATTTTTGAATGTCTCTTCATCTTCCAATTCTAATTCCAGACACAAAGTATTAGATGAGATGCTCCAAAAGTGTTTCTTCTCGATATCCATTTTTTGACCCAACATCTTTTTTTACGTTTTCTTTTCATTAATTTTTCTCTTAGAACAGCAGAGATAATTAAAACACCCTCGCGCACTGCACTCATGGTAGCGACTGGCTGGCACAAAAACTCGAAATGCGACTTTTGCTTTCAACTTCTGTTTACACGGAGACGTTCAATATTCAAAGGCGAAGCGATTATCGCTTAGATGGAGGGCGATAATCGCGAATGTTTAGACGAGGAAAGTTTTTTATATCCTTTCGATAATCGTATGTTCGACACGAGAAACTCTCTCCATCTAAATGGGCCTTTATTAGTTCATTGCGCTGTATAGGAACATACTTTTTTTAAATTTTATTACATTTCTTAAACCAAAATTTTTTTCGCCCTTGTTTCGTTAATTTTTGTCTTAGAAAAACTATGATAATCAAAACACCCTCGCTCACTGCACTCACGATAGCGACTGGCTGGCACAAAAACTCGAAATACGATTTTTGCTTTCAAGTTCTGTTTAAACGGAGACGTTCAATATTCAAAGACGAGGCGATTATCGCTCACGTGGAAGGGCGATAATCGCGAATGTTTAGACAAGGAAAGTTTTTTATATTCTTTCGATAATCGTATCTTCGAGACGAGAAACTCACTCCATCTAAATGGGCCTTAAGTCTTATAATTCTTGCAACTGCCCAGGTCTCTGTAAGGATCTGAATCTATTACCTCAAAATATTTGCTGAAAAATCTTTGATTAAGCATGTATCCTAAACATTATAAATGGTTGACTGCTTTGACTTACTGGGTGATATTTCGTACTTATTCCATGGGACACTATCACCCTACTGTCGTTCCCTTAGCGAGGACTAACCATAGACAAAATAGTTTTCAATGTAGAGGTAGCAAGAGCTTGGATAATGGGCTGAGCAATCATGACCTCGATGTTGATATATTCAATTGTAATGTTGATGCGCTAAAGCGTAAACTCATGGACATTATATTTAATTTTATTGAATAATTTGTGACTGTTCGCGCAGTTATTGGGTTGTTATATTTATGTAAGTGCATGTTGTTAAGAAATACTATTCATTGTTCGTTTGTTTAATGCCCGTATATGATTTGTCTGAAGCTAAAGGTGGAAACCTGTAATTGATTTATGTTGTGTTTATGTTTATTTTCCTGTTTTTTAAATGTAAGAAACCGTCAATGTAATAATAATAATTTAAAATCTATTTTTGATTTTAGTGATCTAAATGTACTTTTACGAAACAGCCATGTTTGGTGGAAATGGTTAGTTTCCAGTTCCAAAATCTTCACCTTACCTGATAGTTGTTATTCCTTGATTCATGCATAAAATCGAGTTTCATATACATTGAAGTATGATGCAGGTTTTTTGTAAAGTATACTTCATTTGGGATTATATATATAACGTAGGTACTCACGAGTCCTGTTCTTTTTCAGGCATGGCCATATTTCTTTACTTTTATGGTATTGGAACACATCATTCTGAAGTTGCAAGGGAAGAAGGGTGTACGTCTCAGTGATGGAATTACTAGTATATCCAATGGAATTTTCTTAGAAGGTGGCAGGTATATTTCAAATAATAATTGTTTACTAAATAAAAAATAATGACGACACTCGAATGAACACTACTCTATTTTTTTGGTCAGTTTCTGTTTTTTTTTTTTTTTGTTAACAGCCATATTTATTTACTAATATTATGTTCTCCGAATTTTGGGGAAAAAAATAAAGAAACAAGAAACAAAATTTGAAAAAAAGTAATTTTGTGAAAAATAAACAAAAAAATAAAAACAGAACAGGTCCAAAAATTAAGTTGGCGTAGTGTTCATTGGAAGTGTCGATAATAATAAATAATAAGAACGTGGCAGACATCCACTCTAATTACCCGGTATCAAATTAATAATTCCCTGCACCATGAGTTGTTGCTCTGGTGCAACGGAATTCACTCCGGGGTACTACCCAGAACACCCAGACCCAATAGAGAACTAATTTAGAAAAGTTCATTTCCTAAATGAATCCTACCGGGAATCGAACCTGGGACCTCTACATCCAACACCTACAGTGCGAGGTCGTCAAAACCTACAAATCAAGACTATGACCGCTTTCCTATAATGATGCTTTCCTATGATGGCAACCGCCACAGAGTGACTAAGCTTACTGGTAATGGATTTATTTTACAATTCTAAGCAACAAGCCGAACAAGACATGCTCCTGGTGGCAAGCAACATGCTCATAACAATTGCAGTGCCCTTTCAAAGCTTTAAATAGCAAAAATACGAGGCCCTTTGCCGCTGCGCCCGTCACCCTGAGACACAAACCTTACAAGTCCCATGTGCCTGTATATTCGCCAATTTGTACACAGAAAACCGTTACTTACTACAACTTTGCCATCTACTGTACAAAATACGCGGCAATTTACAGCTACTTATTATTGTTGTGGGCAATACTTTAGTAGCAGTAGAACTTTTTGGGAAAGAGTTCGTCCAGGGTAGTACTACTGCCACCTTACCTATTTCTGCCGCCATGCAGTAATGTGAGAATTGCTGTGTTTCGGTTATGAAAATTATGGTTCTGATGAAATTACAGGCACAGGAGACTTGTCAACTTATGTCTCAGGGTGACAGGCGTAGTGGCAGTGGCCATTGCAACTGCTATTAACAGGCGTGTCGCTTAACACCAGGCGCACTACTTGTTATTCCTGCACTTGGTATCATAAAAAAAATTTGAAAAAAAAAATGTTTGGACTGCATCTGTGTTGGCTGAGATGGTGAAGTCTTTAACCAGTTATGTTTAATATATTTATTTCTTTCATTATTTAAATTTATTCTTTAAAAGATAAATGGCAATAAAATCAAACATATTAATGAGTAGGTACTAATAGCAGTACATCTATTTGCGCTAAAAGGGTGATATGGCAGAACAACCTGATTTTCCTTTAACAGATTGGTATGGCGTGGCGCTGAATCCTATCTCTACACCTGGATTTACTCTAACTACAGACTTCTGGATTTAAATTGGGAATACGCATCGACATGGCTACTCGCTGCGTTAGGCGTCGACTTTTGTTATTATTGGATGCACAGAGCGTGTCATGGTAAATAGCATACAATTATATTGTCATATGGTTTCATAATTGGCAATTCTTACAAAATCTCGAAATTCTTGTCCTTTAGGTTTATAAAAAAAGTATGTGATTATTGCCGCAAAATTAATATTTAATAGCAAATATACTTCAATTGCTACTAATACCTACATAAAATGTTGACTAATGTATTTAAATAATACAATAATCAATAATAATATAAAAGTGTCCCAAAAATCATTCCCTGTCTATGTTCTAAGTTCCATAAAACAAACAAAAATAGCCTTTAAATTTTAAGCATTCGATCAAATAAAATGTGTTTTAACGAAATTACACATATCCTGTAGTAAAAACATGGTAAATAAATTGAAATATATATATATATTCCCTCACACTTTTACCTTCACTCGATTTCTGAACGAATTTTTAATCTTTGGCAAGCGCATTTGCAACTTATAAAAACTTTTGTAACTGTAAACGTTTCAAAATGACGAAATACGACTTATGTGTTAAAAGTTTCTAGTGCGAAAAGATTTAATTTAAAATTCTAAAACTTACAGTTTTGACAGCCATTCCCTCACGTCATATAAAAAGAAGTTAAGCATTTGATTTTATTTATTAATTATACACTCAGATGAATTATTAGCAGCAGTTAGCTTACACAAAATATTAAGTCTAAAAGTAGGCTTATGTCGCTATTTTATCTTGGTTTACTTTGATTTCGTCATTCCCTCACCCTCAAATGTTCTGACTGTCCTACACTTTTTCTTAAAAGTTATTTATTTTGGAGACCACTATATCATCAAAAACTGTTTACAGAAGTACTATGAAATTTACAAAAAAATAAATACAAATTCTTCCTAATCTTTTTCATAAATATGGAAAGTACGAATTTTGGAACTTCATGAGATATACCCAATTACATAATTATAGCATGTACTGCGTATAAAGTTTATCATTCCCTTCTTTTGAAATCAAGAATTGATGTAACGAAAAAAATACTGTGTAGCCTTTGCTTATCCATTAGTATTCTGACTAGTGAACGTGTTGTACCGTGGCTAATATTAAGAATATAGTAATCACAGTTTACTTCTTTTTAATTTCTCTGAATATTTTTCGTATTCGTCAGTGTAATAAAATTACATTATCAAAACCTCTCCGCCTACTAAAAAGACACTTTTTCGCGAATATATTTAATATAATGTCGGAGTATAACCGTAAGGGCAACGTTGAGGAATAGACCTTTTTCACTGATTTATTCAATTCAATTCAATTCAATAATTTATTGCAAAACCATAATGTACATAATAAGATGTTACAAATGTAGTGAGACCAGTATTATGGGCCCTGTCGGGCACGCAACATAGGAGCTAGGAGAGAGGAAGCGCAATTTTATAGTAGTGTTTTATATACAGTAAGTATTCTAATCTTATTTATCATAGGTACTATATACTATATTATATTGTTATAAAATTTAATTTAAAAACAACCTTAATATTTATCATCATTTTGCGTGGCCAATGAATGTATTATCTATTAAATATTCGTTAATAGTGTAATAACATTTTTCGGATAGGAATAGTTTTAATTTTTTTATGAAAATGTTGTCATTGTTTTCATTTTTTATATTTTCAGGTAGTTTATTATAAATTTTAATAGAAGAACTGTAGGTACTAGAGGAGTTAATTTTTAATCGTGAAGTCGGCAATACTAATTTATTTTTAAGTCGTAAAGAGTACTTACATGGGATATCTTCACGTTTTTTATAAAATTGTTTATTTTTCCTGACAAATTTACTTATTTCCAAAATATATAAACTGGACAGGGTTAATATTTTATATTTAAGAAAATATGGTCTACAGCTATCAGTCTGGTCAATATTGACTATTATTCTAATTAACTTCTTTTGAAGGGTGAATAGAGAGGCTGCATACGTGCTGTTACCCCACAGAATGATGCCGTAACTGAGCCAAGCGTGCGCGTAGGCATAGTAGGTTGTTATTGCCGTCTCTATGTTTGTTGTCTTTTTTACTTCGCGCAGTGCGTATGAAAATCCTGCTAACTTAGACTTTACTCTATGAATGTGCGATTTCCAATTTAAGTGGGTGTCTATATTTAAACCGAGCAATCTAAATTCCTTAACTGATTCTAAAATTGTACCATTGTAATCGAATTTTAAGTTTAATGAAGTTTTTTGGTGGGGATGGAAGGGCATTATTTTAGATTTAGAGAAATTAATTTTGAGATTATGATCATTTAACCAGTCTGTAGTTTTAGTCAGAAGGACATGAAGTTTGTCATATATATCAGTGTCGTTTTGACATGATGTAAGCAAAGATACATCGTCAGCAAACAATACACAGGTTTCGCCTATAGCCGTAGGAAGGTCATTGATGTATATCAAAAATAAAAGACATCCAACGACACTTCCTTGAGGAATCGATGCATTTACTTTTTTAAAATCGAAGCGCACGCAAGAAATATTTTTAGTATTGGTATCAAAGCATTCGATCTCAACAAATTGCTGCCTATCCTTTAAATATGAAGCAAACCAGGCGTGAGCAGAGCCTCGAATACCTATCCCGTATAGTTTACCTAATAGTATATTATGGAGGACCCTATCATATGCTTTCGTCATATCCAATAAGATACCTACACCGTATTTCTTCCTGTCTAATATTTTGACCACCTCGTTAACATACTTATATACTGCTAAAGCTGTGGAGCGATTTCTTCTAAAGCCGTTCTGACAGTCATCAAATATTTGGTATTTTTCACAAAATTTAGTAACGCGACTGCAAATGGCCTTTTCAAAAATCTTAGATGCAGTCGGCAAAAAGGCGATTGGACGATAGTTGTTTGGATCGGTTTTTTCGTCTTTTTTGTAAATAGGTTTTATGATAGTGTTTTTTAGTTGTGATGGAAAAGTGCCTTCGTTAAATGATTGGTTTATTAATAAAGTGAACGGTAATGTTAATTCGTCAGCGCATTCTCTGATTAAGTTAGGTGGGAGTTCATCTATGCCGTGGCTTTTTTTATTTTTAAGACATTTAATAATTTTATTCACCTCAGGACAAGTAACTGGGCTTAGATACATGGTATTTTTGGGTCGGTCGGAGAACAGAACGACCACAAGGGACACCGTGTGTCGCCGCGTCATTATTACATTCACCGATTGAGGCGAAAAAGTTGTTAAATAAATTAGCAACTTGTTTTGGATCTGAGGTCATGATATCATTTACTTGTAAATTTATATTACATTTTTCTTTTCGATTTATTTTATTCGTCCTCTCATTGATTATTTGCCACATAGTTTTTACTTTGTTATTCGAATGTTTTAATTTATTTATGAATTGATTTCTTTTTGCTCTATTAATAATTGTTTTTAATGTTTTAGCATAGATTTTATAATGTTGTTTTAATGTTGGGTTATTTATTTTTGTTGTGAGTATTTTTAACAATCTTTTATTTTTACAGGATTTTTTTATTCCTGCTGTTAACCAAAATTTTTTTGGGTTTGTTTTTAGTTTAATTCTGCGTTTTGGTATAGTTTCGTCTAGTAATGTTATTAGCCTAACATGGAACATATTGTAGTTTTCATTTATATTTTTGTAGTCGAATAATATTTCATTCCAGTTTATTGAGTGTAGCTGTGTTTTAAAACTATTTATTGTTATTTTATTAAAGATCCTTTTTTGTGTGTACCAATTTGGTTGGTTAGATTGTTGAAGTAGTTTGATTCTTATAATGGTAGCTGAGTGATCTGAAAACCCTAGTTCCTCTACCGTAGTAAGCAAACCATTACTAAAGTTAGTAAAGATGAGGTCCAGGCAAGTAGATGAGGTTACTGTTACATGGGTTGCTGTTTTGATATGTTGACTAAATTAAGTCAGGAAATTAAAAAATTAAAAAATTTAGTCAGGAATTAAATTAGAACCGTGGATTGAAAGTGAATAGGTCATATTCACTCTTCGTTATCAATTCGTTCTGCCGGCTGTGGCGAAATATTAACGACAGTTAATTGAAATTAATTCCATTATGCACTTTACAATTTTAAAAATTATTTAATTGACTATTCCCATCATGGACCCCATACCGCTATGGGGTCCTTCAAACGAGGCGTGAAGAGACATCTTGTAGGCATACAGAGTGGAGGTGGCTAGGGCAGTGATTGTATCAACACTGCACTAGGTTCTTTCACGTTTGGATTCCATTTTACATCAGGTGGAATGGAGTCGTCGGCCTGTCATGAATAAAAAAAATAAAAAAATTTAAAAGTACAAAAGATGAATCAGGCTAAATTGGATTTTGAATGTCACGCGGCAAGTTCACAGAGAGCGGCCACGCTTGTTCACTTTTCAAGCATCTCACACAAAAAGCGCATTTTGGCAACGCGCGCTCGTATAAAGCATTGACCATCAACTTCACTGTTTATTTGATGTATATTATATCATAGGACTACGTCAGATGACTGATTAAACTGAACAGATTCAAACGACACGAGTGCCATTCCATTTGCAACCTCACCAAATTTGAGCTGTCAAACTGACGTGACATTTGTAAGCAAAGAAATCATAATCGAGACTATTTAATGTGATTCGTAGATAGTCTAGTGAATCGTTTCTCTAATAAATAATTAAAAAACAACACCTACTAATATTAGCTAAGATTTAACCTTTCGAAAACACATTACGTACACAATGAACCGAATTCTTTTACATTATCTTAAAATTGATAACTGTATCCGACATATGCATTTCTTTTACAATGCTTCTCCCTTAGTACATGCTAATAGGTGTATTTATCGAAGCTGAAACTTCGTCATAATAATCTAAAAGCTCGTAGTTATATAAAATATTACAACTACGAGCTTTGGGATGCTCGATTGCTCTGTTTAATCGACCCGTCAAAATGTATTGAGAGCTAACTCGTTAAGCAATTTCCTCTCACAAAATGTCCAATAATCTTTTTAGAAAAGAGATAGTCGCGTTAACATTTCTTTGTCACAATTTAAATTTTCTTTCTAGTCTCTAATTCAATTATTTTTACATCCCGTTGCACGTTGTAATATCTTCTAAAATTAAACATCTATATATAGATGAAAATATTAATAACAAGAAAGTTTAGTCTTACTGCTAATTGCTAACTTACTTTTAAATTATTTTATTTATTAACAAGATGCTTGTACATATTTCTACCCTTCAGCTTAAAAAATATCTACTTTTATTTTAAGTTTAAAACAAGCTCGAATGAATTCATTTTGGATTCAGTAATAATAAGATCGGAGCACACGATTAATGTATTTCCGTCCCATTTCAGAGCATCGCTCCTATCGGTGTAACTCCTTCCGAGCCGCTCGGCTGTAAGCTCTTTCCTGGACCTCTTTGTGCGACGCTACATTTCTTTTCCCATTTAGGTAATCTGTAAAAGGAGTACAATATACGAGTTTGGGGCGGTTTCGTAGAACTCGTCGCGCCCGTCTCATCCGCCTAACTAATCCTTATCTTCACCTAACTTGCTTTTTTCGAACTTTTCTTTGTCGCATAAGGTATACTCCCTCCTATTCTCATTGAGATCATCAAACTTCTTTATTATTTTACGTGCGTTAACATTTGCACATATGTCAGTCTCTTGGTTTAACCTATTTTTTCTATTCACCTTCGACTGTTCTATTAATTTACAACCACTAATTGGAAAAAATGGTTATTTTTTTCATTCAACCTGACACTGGCATCAGTGATTTAGACATCAAGCTGCTAATAAATTGATACAAAACACTTTTTCAGAGATACACGTGCTGTGGGCACAACACCAAGTCCATCACACTTCTGAAGATTTCAACATGGGCGTTGGCATTAGACAATCCATTCTACAAGGCTGGTGTGGATTTGTAAGTATCAAATCATAATCATAAAAAAAATATAATGAGGGAAGGGGTTACGTTACTGTTAATAGCATTTTAAATAATTACTCGCTGAAGTTTCCCCAGATTCCAGTTCAGAATGTTGACGCCTACCTTTACTTATGGATAGTTTTAATAGCAGCACACTTTACTTATTGTTTGAAGTTGCACGCAAAATAAACAAAAGATAATGAAATTTACATCTTGAAAGGTTCTCTATGTGAGTCACAAAAATAAATATATACTTAAACTTAAAAGCCGCTCAGAGTATTATATTTCAAGCATCTGCAAGTGTTGTTTACTAATTTAACTTGTTTGTAATGCGATTCTCCACAAATTCTGTTTAAACGCTTTCAAACCAAGAAAGGTTTACGCTTACTTGTATTAATCACAACCTATACATACACTCACACATATATTACGCGCCCTTGTTTCGTTTGGCGTAGGCAGACACCAAAGCCTTCAACTTGGTACGTTCCTGACACACATCTTTCGCTTCATCAACACGCATCAGTGCTTTCATATATGCTCGTCAGGTTACGGGTAATCTTGACCTGGCCTTTCTTTAAGACGTCCTCAATTTGATCATGGTAAGTTTGTCATGGTCTGCCGTTACTAAATATCTGTTCTCACTCGCTTTATAAATAAATTTTTTCATTCATTATCTCTACATATCTGAATAAAAACATATTTTCTCTACCTTCTGTAATTAGTCGACTCACGTCTAAATCCTTTTCCTTTGAAGTCAAGTTTGGTCAACTACTGGGGGCTGACAACTATGGGTACACTCACCCTATACAGATATTTCATTATTGCTGCAAACTAACGTGATAACGTAAAACGTCACGTAACGTAAAGAGGAGACACATAATAATAAAGATTTTTTTTTTTATTTAACTGCCTTCGTGGTCGACCGGTTACTTATTTGTATGATTCCTGGGTCAAAAGAAATATTTGTATGACCTACATTTATTTCTCTCATGATTTGTGGTTGTCTATGTATGTGTCCATGGCACTCACGATACAGAGTCCGTAGTGTGGGGCTATGAGTGTGAGCGTTATTATTATTATTATTATTTCTGGTACAGAACTTTTTTAAATAAGTGAGTGGTACTCAGACTTAGTTGGTAAAGTTTAGGAATGCTCAATGGCTTCATAATCCACTTGCTTTCAACCCAACATGAAACATTAAAGTCAAAGTGAAGCGAACAAAGAGTCTTAATTACTACAGCACAGGGAAATTAATTACCAACTCTGAATGTGAAGTTTATTGTGCGCTGTCAAAACTGTGATGATAATTAATTCGCGTTGAATTTACCAGAGATTTACCTATCACGCTTAAGTTTGTTTTCTCGTTAAAATTCGGTTTCGTATTTTCCTCTTGAGCGATGATATTCTAATGTGTGTGTCAGCTAATGTTTCCCTATTCCAACGGTATATATAACTCAATATTACCCAAAAGTGTCGCTTATCCCATTTTGCCTTTCAAGCGTCGATATGAATGATTTGGTAAAGCCACATGTGGGCATGATCACATCGCACCCCTCATGGAAGAATGGCATAAGTGAAGTTACGTTAAAAATCTTTATTGCTTTATTAGATACAGAAAAATATAACCCACATTCTCTCCAATTTTTGTAACCCTATCGACAATGTTAGTCGATAGAGTTTCATGAACTAATTTATGTATTTATTATATTTTTCTGTGTCCAATGGAGGAATTCAAAGGTACTTTTATGACTTAAATGTCATACAAATAACACGAACTACGAAGTTCGAAGACCCTTTACACCTCTCTCCTAAAAAGGCGACTTCCGTGGTCGAGTAGTATGTATATTGGTTTTCATGGCGTTGCTATCTCTGAAGTCCCGGGTTCGATCCCGGCCGGCGTAATGTAGAAAAACCAACTTTTCTATATTGTCTCGGGGTCAGGGTGTTTGTGGTATCGTCGATATGTCCGATTTCTATAACTTAAGTGCTTCAGTTACTTACTTAGGGATCAGGGCAACGTCTATTATATATTCTAATATTTATTTATATCTAAATTTGAAAAGTTATCATTTTGCAGACAGGCCTTATTACAATTAGAGTGCGAAATGTCAACTTCAACGAAAACATAATGTGACCAAAAAGACCCTGATTTATCTATGGGCCATTGTGTTATTTCCATTATAATTGAGAATAATGAAAAAGAAAATGAATATAAACAAGTCAACATCATCTACTAAATGTACACATGATTAGATTTATTGTAAAACTTTCACGATTCACCTTCTCCAAGTTTGGCAAGAACTTAACGGCTATCAATTTTCATCCAAAAAGCCTATTTAGGTACATACAATTTAACCTTGATATGGGTAAAGTTTGTACTGGGGTGATATTTAACGATGAGTTTTATCATCGCCATATTACGTTCTGTACGTGCCACTACAGGCCTCGGGACCCGTCGAAGAAGATCGTTTAGACTCTAGGTCGGGCACCCTGGCTCAATGCAGATTGGGAACTTGACATCTTTTCGTTGTATACCTTTCTTTATGAAACCAAGTGACGGGACGAACAAGTCGTCAAATTCAAATTGCAAAGATATAGATAAGGGGTAGTTCCACTAGGCCCGTCATCCTGAGAAATAAGTTGACAAGTTCAAGGAAAACTTGATTTTTTAAATAAACAAATTAAAATAGGTATCATTTATTTAAATTCCATAATTATATAGGACAGTTATTTTAAAAGTAACTTTGAAGGATCTTCAGCAAAACGGTTTAAGGCGAATTACGTAAAAGAATCGCCCACGGGCGGCGTTAATAAATTTCCTATGTTTACAGAGCATACAAAGGCCATTTACTCTGTCTTCGATCACAGTTGATCACATGGCTGTTTTTTCTTGTTTTTACCGCGTTTTTACGCGTCAGAGTGTGCTGAATTATCTTTTAATTGTAGCAGTGGAAGAAGTAATTAATAATTAATTAACGCAAATTATATTGTATTGCACATGAGAACTTTTATCGCCAACAGTAGATAGTAGGGAGGTATACAAAATCCATTTCAGCTGCCCTCCCCTAATAATAATAGTATAATAAGTACAACAAAGAAACTAAAAAAAAATGCAGCACCATCCGTATCCCAAACCTGTGTCCCAAACAAACAAACAACTGTTCTTGTATTCTTCTTCTTATCTATGGCAGACATTTTGAAGTGGTAACACACCCCGGACACTCCATGCAACGGTAGAAAATTATTTACCTACTACTACTACAGCAAGGCGCTATCTGCACACGCGCAAATGTGTACGTGGAGTGGCAGGGTTACTTTCTTGCACTATTACGTTATGTGATCAGCAACACGCGAATCTATTATCTATGATTCTATTAATAGAATCCAGAATCCTAATAATTACACATGTCTATTATGTATTTCAAATCGTCATTATTTCATATTTTTCATTAATTCACTAACTAGAGTAATATTGAAGATTTATTTAAAAAATATATTACAAGCACTGAAAATGTTATATTTTGGACATGTACTTTGGACGTGTCCAAGTTGATCATCATTACTTAGTTATAATTAGGCATATTCGCTACTTATGTATATTATTCGAGAACCCTTGTCTACTAGCTCACCTTTGTGAGTTAGTAGACAAGAGTGACATGAGTCAAAGTCAAAGTCAAAGTCAAAGTCAAAGTCAAAGATTATTTATTCCATAGGTAAAATAAATTTACACTTGAAAGCGTCACATTTAAGCTACTGCTCGTTCACTACGCTGGCTGACCTTCCTGAGAAGAACGAACAAGAAAGTCTAGGGATTGCTCTTTTCAAATAAACTTAAATGCTATGGAATACACTTTGAATCAAATTTGTGTGGATTTTGGAGCCATGCGGTCTTTCCATACATTTTTATCTAACACGTAGTCTTCAATTTTGTAATATGATTTTTCGATCAAAATATTTTTAATGTAGTTTTTAAACTTAGGAAATGATAAACTTAATATATGCTCCGGAATCTTATTGTAAAAACGTATACAGTTCCCCATAAAAGAGTTGTTTATCTTGGTTAAACGAAATCGTGGTACCATGAGTTTGGACTTAGCTCTAAGGTATATTATGGATATCTTCTTTCTTATTGAAATTATGTATATTTCTACGGGCATATAAAATATATGAGTAAATGTACTGTGATGCTACAGTCATGATACCAGTCTCCTTAAACTTTTCTCTGAGAGAAACCCGAGAGCCTAGACGATACACAGAACGAAACGCTCGTTTTTGCAATACAAATATGGTTTGAATATCTTTACCGCTTTACCCCACATGAGAATCCCGTAGGATATTATACTATGGAAGTAACTAAAGTAAACTAGTCTAGCAGTACTAACATTGGTAAGCTTACGTATTCTGTGGACTGCGTATGCAGCGGAGCTTAATCTGCTGGCCAGGGATGATGTATGTGGTAACCATTGAAGTTTACTATCTAAGGTCATTCCCAAGAAGACTGCTTTATTAACAAGGTCTAACTTTTCTCCGTTTATTTATATGCTTGGACTAGTCGATTTTACGTTAGGTAATTCAAATTTAACACATTTTGTCTTCTTGGCACTAAGCAATAAATTGTTAGCATTAAACCAATAAACTACCTTAGAGAGGGTATTATTAATGTGGTCTGGTATGACTTTTCATGGCGCCTCATTATGTTGATATAATAAATTTGTATTTTTTGTACATACATAATACTACTCTGCAGTAAATAAATAAAGAAAACAATGACTGAATGAGCCTCAGATATAACTTTTTTTTACTTACTTCGTTTCCTCTTTCGGAAAATGATTATAAACAGCCGTACACAGAACAATTCACGACCATTATAAATAGCAACGTAAAATGATATTTTATATTAACGTAAAAGTTTCGTAATGAATAAATGAAAACTGTATTCAAATATCAAAGCCGTCTTCGCGCGAAAACGGCTCGCCGGCAGCCTTGTTGTCGTTCAGTCAATGTGACCGGCAATGTGGCGTGATGCGGTATCTAAAGCTAGGGAGGGGCGGAGAGTGTCCGGTCTCTTTACTTTTTATTCTCTGGTGGTAATGCGGCATCATGGCGAAAAGATTTGCTAGTCAGCGTAAGATACTCGTCGATTGCTGCCCAGGGTGTGCTAGACCAAGTTAACAGTTACAGAAATATTAATAGTGATGTTACTAATAAAAGTATACTTAAATATATTATTCCATTTCATTTCTCTTTTTTTTATACCATGTGCGACACGCCTGCCTATAGAAGTTGCAGTGCCACTCAGAGTTTTAAATCGCAAATATCTGAGGGCCAATGCCACTGAGCATGTCACCCTGAGATATAAGTTAACAAATCTGATGTACCTGTAATTTGTTACAGATATTCTATCTCCCGTTGGCGCTGGTAATTCCCCCAGCGCAGTTTGTGATGCACCATCAATTCAGCTACCTCTACATGTTCTGGATTCACACCGACACAATTAAAACTTTGGGACCCCTAGAGTATGTCCTGAATACGCCAAGTCATCATAGGATTCATCACGGTACAGTCAAAATGCATATTAGAAAGAAAGAAACATTCAAATAGCTATTCTCAAACATACAATCATAATTCAAATATAACAAAGAATACACTCTCAGCGCCACGTGGGCCGCTGGCCGCCTCATGTAGCTATTCTCAAACACAATCATAATCTCAGTACAGAGTACTAAAAAAACCGACCTCAAAAGTACGTGGAATCACATACAATTACCAAGTTTTATTGAAATCGGTTACCGAAAAGTGCGCAAACCCGGATTCTTACCCTATTTCGCTTCTATAAGGGACTTGACACAGGAGATAATAAATATCGGGTCTCACTACTCAAAGTATATTGAGAGCGCAAAACGCCTTGAATTGGAGATATATCAAAATCAACCATTAAAATAATTCCTCCTCACAATAACATTTAGGCGCTATTTATAAAAATGAATCTTCATGCGTGAACAGCCATCCTTCGAGGTGGATGATTTTCTTCAGAATTAAATGGGGCCACTATGGAGATACCCTTTTTCCAACAAAAAAGAATCATGAAAATCGATTCACAAATACCGGAATTATCGCGTAACATACATGCAAAAAAAAAAGAAAACATACAGTCGAATTGAGAACCTCTTCCTTTTTTTGAAGTCGGTTAATAATTCAAATTTAACAAAGAATACACATTCTCAGCGCCACGTGGGCCACCGGCCGCCTACAAAAATACAACTACATCAGGCTACTATGTATCTCCAAATGTTAACCAGCTAGCCACGTGGGCTAATGGCTGTCCACATAGACAGCGAGTGCTGCAAACCGCTATATATTTCCGAATTTTACCCAGCAAGGCATGTGTATTGCCGGCGTACTACAATTAAGAATTCAAATTTGTTTTCGAGTATCGGATATCGACAAATACAGCCAATTGTTGGAATCTTCGCTCTTTCATTTAAAAATACGGTTTTTTTTGTGGGATCATGGCATAACACGTGGCCTGCTGGTAAAACATGAAGGTATGCCGCCGGGAGCCCACTTGGCCCGCTACAAAAGTTACTTAAAATCAGGGGTGGCATGCTGTGAAAAAAATGCGTGTCCCGCGCGCCACCCACATGGCTTGCTACTTCAGAAAAATCGTTTGTTCTATGGCGCTGAGAGTGTTAAGAGAATGCAATAGAAAATAGAAAAATATCAAAACCGAAAAAGCTTGCCAGCTCAGCTTTCTACTGGGCAGAGTTTCAGCGCTGGTTTTCAGCTGGAGCCTGAGAGGAGGTAGATGGCTTGAAATACTTAACATGTGGAAGGAAAATAACATTTTTTTACTATTTAATGTTAAAGAATAGCAGTTGAAATACAGGAATATGCTATAGGTATTTACAGTATTCGTTTTGGTTTTCGTTATCGTAAGTAGCATAGTGTTGAATTCAAATCATTATTAATATGAAGCCCAGCGTGCTGAAAAACAATATTTACTTTCAGCTTCCAACATGTATATCCATTAATATTACAAAACAACATTGTTTGTTTGGAATGGCTTTGTGTTCTGTTTTATCAATATGCTTATATTTTTCATTATCGTAAACTCCTTTATTGGCGAAAAAACTTAAAACGAAACTTAATTCACGAACATCTGAGAGACCCCCCACACTAGCGTCTTTCGAGTGTCAGCGCCTTGATAAATAAAGCACAGCGTTTTGACAACGCACACATAGTGTCGATATGATGTGTTCGCACGGTGGCGACGCAAGCAGAGCCAGCACGAGCCGTATACCTAACGTTAGGAACTATTCCCGAGCCGCTCAGTGTGTGCGTCGAAAGACGCTAACGCGCGGGGGGGGGGTGTCTCTAATATGTACAGTCGGCGTCAAAATTAATTGAACTAACTACAAATATATTAATCGAAGTAGTGAAAGCTCAACCAATACATCCAAAGTGGTTAATTTTATCTATATGTTACGTGTCTTTCGGCAAAAATCTACAATATCAATGAATTCAAAGCCCGCTTTTTAATTATTTTCAGTTTCAAACAGCGTTTTGATTGGTAATTGTCAAATATGCAAATAACTGTGAACCATCGAGTATATAACCAGAAATAGAGACGAAATAAGGGCCATATATTCCTGGTAACACATTAGCGACACAGCTCTTATAAATATCAACTAACGTTTGCAGTGAAATATAGACAGGCCAACTACTGCCCTGTGTGTACGTCTCCGTATATTCCAAAAAATATTCTGTATTTATGGTAATAATCTCTAACAATGACGTGCTGTTCTATTTGGTGATGTGGGAAAAACAGCAAAACATCTAATTACAAAACAAACGGAATCACATTTCATTTAAATTATCGTCCATTATATCAAAGCTCAAGTTAACTGGTCGATTTGAAGTGAAACAGTTGACGACACCCGTTAATTGTTTCAAACTCGGGCTAGCCAATCGGAGAGCAGTTGTCACAGTAATGATATCGCAGAATAGTTTTCAAACAAATTAAATGACATTTCTTCTCTATTTCTGGTTATATACTCGATGCTGTGAACATACGAATGTCGTTGGTTATAGTAAAATGTACTTTAATGCTAATTGATTCCAGGAAGCAACCCGTACTGCATAGATGTGAACTACGGCGGGGTGCTCATAATATGGGACAAAATATTCAGGACATTCAGACCGGAGATGAAAGGAGACCGCATAGTGTACGGTCTCATTTATCAACAACCGTCTTTCAACCCTTTGCACTTACAGGTAAGAATTTTTGTATTACTACGAGTATAAGTATATTGATTTAGGCTATACCTGTTTCTGCAACCAAACAGTAATGTGAGCAATACTGCGTTCCGGTTTTGAAGGGCAAAGGTACTGGTGGACTTGTCGACTGTATGTCTCAAGGTCACATGTGTAGTGACAGTGCCTCTCAGATCCTTGGCTGACTGCCACTGCAAGTGTTGTGGATAAGCGTGTCGCTTACCACCAGGCGCACGATTTCTTTGTCCTGTCACTTGATTCTTTTTTCATTAAAATGAGTCTACAAAAAAGTTATGTCATGGAATACAAGTTAACATAAGGTATAAACACCTGATGACTGTGGTTTGATTCGGGCAGAACCAATCAATTATAGAGATTAACTTTTCTCTGGATGTTTTGGGTATTTATTGTTCACGGAGTAAATTTGTTACTCTACGAATGAAATCTTCAGTTTAAGACCAGGTAATCGGACAATACACCACTTCAGTTATAACTATAGGGTATTATAGTTCTGTTACCTGGGACATACTATTCAAACCTCGGGTCCGAGATCTCATTGAATCGTGCCCTTTTCACATGTAGGTAACAACAAAAGAACTTTTCACAGTATGAGTCTTTGAAACATCCTTTGTAAATAATAAGATATTATTATATTGATTTTATTGTGATACTGATTTTAAAATGTCTGACTGTTTTTGTACAGAAATAAATTCGTGTACTTTTTTTATTTTTATCAAAAGTACACTTGTGTGATCATGAATAGAATTTATAGTTGGGCCAGTAATATAATTGAAATACATTAGGGTTTTTACTACCTGTTCAAATGTATTACATTTTTATTTATAGACCCTTTTATAACGCAAAAGCAGTTAGCCATACGTTGTAACCATTTTCGCCACTTTAGCACTACAAAAGAAGCCATAAACAGAATTTTTATAAAAAGTCCGCTTTAATTTTTACGTGAACGTTGAGTATTGTGGTCCATACATCGGTTATACGGAACTATCTTTAAAATTATCTTAAAAAATTTTAAACAACTGCCTTGTTTACACATTACATTATTCACTTTCCTTAGAAATCGATAGAATCGTTAATAAAAGAAGACATAAAGTTTTACCTAGGCAGATTATTAAGAGAATTGTCACAAAACAATAAATACAGTAGGAATGCTCGGTTTACGTGACACGTGTGCCAACAGTTTGCGGAGTCCCGCAAACTTAAGCTCAGTTCGCCATTTTCGCTTTGTACGATGTAATCGTGTCAATTATCTCGCGTAAATCCTTGATAATCATAGAAAAATGCCTTAATTTGCTTCTTTGGAGTACAAAAATGATAGTTGTACTGGTCATATTATGGTGTATCATATCATCGTTAAGTCTTATTTTACTTCATTTTAATTTAATAATTGAAGTATACATTTACTTAGTTTAGGCATCGCAATTACACATTAGATGCTAATATTAAAATTGTATAGCTTTACTATGAAAACTTATAATTTCGATTCCCTTCTTAATTATTATTTGAATACTATAATAGCTTTATTTACATTTGTTTTACTTATATTGTATTAGATTAAGTTATATTGAAATAAATTTATCTTTTCTTCTCTTAATGAATTTTCAGTTTTCTGTTCATCGTAATATTTTCTTTGTTACAAGAAGCGAAAGTAAACCTAATACCGCTGCAATATGGTCCCTTCTTTTTTGAAAACTTAGTAAACATTTCGAATTCGTCATGGTTCAGCTATTAACCGCTAGATGGCAGCACATTGACTGAAAATTCAATATAAAATCAAAACTTTGTAACTTGCTATTATAGGTATTGATGGTATTAAACGTCAACGATATGCCAACAGGGTAAAATTTAAGTTATATTAACGGTCCAGAATTTGTTATTTATTTTTAAATTAGAAACAACGACCCATCATTATCACGATTTCATAGGGCTTCAAATTATGTATATGTGGGTTTTGACGAAAGCGGTTCTGATAGTAACCGAAACTTAAAGCACTTCCATTGTTTTTTTCTTCCGTAAAATTTGTTGTTAAGATTTTCGGAAACAGTCGCAGGATGAAAGTTTTTGTTTTAACTACAGAAATGTCATGTCAATACAATTCGGATACGTTAAACCTGTACCTGTATATACATATAATGTTTTAAGTACGTATAATTGGGAGGTAAATAACCTTTTTACTACAAACTACTAAAATCAATTTTATGGTCAAGGAACGTATGTAGTAGCAGTAGAGTTCCTTGTGATAGAGTTCGTCCAAGAAAGTTACCTCTTTCTGCCCCAAAACAGTTATTTGCACATTACTGCGTTCCAGTTTTGAAGGGTAAGGGTGCTAGTGAAATTAGAGGCACGTGGGACTTGTCAACTTAGGTCTCTGGGTGACGGGCCAATGCCAATGCTCCTCAGATCTTTGTGATCTAAAGCTATGAGTGGCACTGTAACTATTATGGACAGGCGTGCCGCTTACTACCAGGTGCACGACTTGTTCGTCTCGTCATTAAGACGACGTAAATAACCTAAAGAAATAAATAAAAACTTGATTTTTAGCAATCTAAAGTAACGTTTGTAAAAACATTTCAATTTCATAATCTCCGTACAGAGCACTAAAAAATCCGACCTCAAAAGTACGTGGAATTACGTCTATTTACTAAGTTTTATTGAAATATACCATAGTATAGTTAATATACTATAGTTCACCACTGTACAGGACTTGACACTGGAAATAATAAAAATCGGTTTTCACTACTCAAAGTACATCGAGAGAAAAATGCCTTGAATTGAAGAAATAGCAAAATCAACCATTAAAATAATTGCTCCTAAATTAAAGTTAGGCGCTATTTATAAAAATGAATCTTCATGCGTGAACAGCCATCCTTAGAGGTGGATGATTTTCTTCAAAATGAAATGGGACCACTATGGAAGTACCCCCTTTTCAACAAAAAGAGAATCATGAAAATCGGTTCACGAATACCGGAGTCATCGCGTAATATACATACAAAAAAGAACATAGTCGAATTGAGAACCTCCTCCTTTTTTGAAGTCGGTTAAAAATATGGTCTACAGTTCCTTTACTTCTTACTTACGGATATGCTAAGGCCCTTCAAAAACTAAAAATAATTTTTTTTTTATATTATTCAAGAACTGTCAAAATGATTAAATACTACGCATTTGTAAGGCAGATTCTCAGAAGAAGTATGACTGAGATAATCAGTGTTGAAGGTCATCATACAACTGCCTCCGTGGCCAAACGGTTACTCGAGAAATATTTGTATGTCCTACATTTATTTCTCGCGTGAGTTTGGGTGTAATTTATGGTTACCTAAGTGTGTGTCTATGGCACCCGCGATACAGGGTTTCCATAGTGTGGGGCTATAAGTGTGTGCATTATTATTATTATTTTCTTCTTTCCTAGCCTTTTTTTGGCTGCTCTAACCACAATTTACTATTATTATTATTATCATTTTAAGTCTATAGGAAAAAATATTAAATTTTGCGCGTCCAAATACACGGAAAGTGAAAAAAGCAAAATACGAACGACTGATGCGCTTCAGCAGGGAATCTATATTCCGTCTAGTATAGGAAATGAAACTTTTTTCCGGATTTAAATTGCGTATATTTGTTTTTTCAAACATTTGTTGTTTGAAAAAACAAATATACGCGATTTAAATAGTTTCATTTCCTAAGTGTAACAATCGCCAAAACGTAAGAACTCAATATTCCGTCTAGTAATTATATGACAATATCATAGCTGGCATATCCCTTTTAATAGTCCCAGTGTGAGCGATTTAATTTTATGATTATATGTCGGGAAATTCGCCTACAGGACTATTGAAGTGCCTAAACAGACCTTAATGTCACAGCTAAACGTTTCCACCAATCATTCAACTAACATCCGAGTTCTGTAACTCCAAATAGTAATATATAATTTTATTTCCAGACGTTCTATACAAAATACGTAATAAGCAAATTCAAGGGATACAATAATTGGGGCCACAAGCTGAGAGCGGTACTCGATAGGCCCAGTTGGAAGCCTGGAGTGGCTATTCGTTTCAAGGATATGCCCGAAGACGTGAGTAATCTCTTTAGTAATATAATGTGCAAAAGGAAAAGTTTGTTTGGTTGAAGTCTTTTACAATCTAGTACAACAGATTTCAAAATTAATTTCACCCGATCAAAGAGTTTGTTATAACTGGTGGTCGGATAATCGGATTCATAGTTACCTACAATTCGGTTGCTTTATTGCTTTGATTGACGAAATTATTAACTTTATAATCTGAGTATAGAGAAAAATCGTGAAAGGTGGTGGGCCCCTCCCTCAATGGCAACCATGTACCACTTGCTCGTGCGCCTCTCGTGCCCTAATACGTGTACGAGAGAAGATTTTTATGCAGGCACTGACAGCGCAGTGAAGGAGGGAACATTTTATTCAAAGTCAATATCTGATCTAGTCTTAAAACCAGTTAAAGGAAAGTGCGCGAAACAGAATTCATCCCCTAGTTTGCCACCCTTAGAAGTAGACCATTTACTTCAAATTCAAGTGGGACCACTACTGAGATGTTCTCTTTCCAACGAAAAAAAAGGAATCATCAAAATCTGATCACAAATTTTAAGTGAGTTATCGTGTAACATACATACAAAAAATACACACACACTCGAATTAAGAACCTACTTTTTTTGAAGTGGGTTAAATATTGAAAGGGAACAAATGCTACAAATGTTATTTGTATATATATAAATAACATTTATATTAAATTTTGATATACACGGAAAACAAAAAAACATAAAAACCTAAAATTTAGTACCTAGTTTTAATATTGCACCGTCGTACCAGCTTTCAAGTTTGAATTTGATATTTCTAGTTGTTCACAGTACTGAGTTCCAGTTGTAATAATCCCGGTCATCTTCAGACCTATAACATTTGTAATGAACCAAAACCTTATGTATTTAAAATATAAAAATCGTAATATGTCTCGGCATTCCAGCATCCCGGGATTTCAAAGAAGAAACTAGTTATTTTATTATAATTGTTAATACAAAGATCGAACACTCAGAAAAAAATCCTTCGATCCGGTCGGATTCGAACCGACGTCTTCTTGCATACCGTGCCAGACGCTATACCATCAACTAAGCCACGGAACGAACCAACGGACCTCACGAATTTTTCTATGTGCTTGCGTCGTGTCTTTGTATTTGGTTTTTCAACGACTTTTTAGTCGTAGCGCCATCTATGAGAAATCTATGAAAGATTTATCACATCGAAGGAATTTTTTCTGAGTGTTCGATCTTTGTATTAACAATTATAACAAACTAGTGGAGTAATTTCACAAAAAATAATTCAATATCAATTCAATAAAACTTTTAATTAACTAGTTATTTGTTATATAAGGCTGCAAAGTTGTTGTTTGATGCTAGTGCTTGTACTGAAACTTGAGCATGTGAAGGACTCTAGACTGAACCACGAGGGAAGCGAATGGTTCAAAAACAGAATTTTGAGCGTGGCGAGGGTTTCAAGGTACGAGACGCAAAACAAGTTTGCTGCCGAGCGAAACACACACCTTTCACCTCACTATAGCGAGGAAAATGGTAGACAAAAGAAAAACAGTTGAACTATAACAAATCAGTTTAGTTCTTCGACGATACTTCGAAATAATTTAATAAACAAAATTAGTTATCGTTGTCAATTTAATGTCAATAATAATAAGAATAAAATATACCAACGGATTTTTACTACATAGGTAATGTACGATAAATCGCGTAGTTGAAAGTGTCACTATGTTTTTTTCATCGAAAGAAAAACTTATGTACACCACTTACATCGTTAAGTTCGAATTTCAAAAACCTTTTCCACGCTAGCGTGGAATAAACGCTTTTGCGCGCAGATTTGTGATGGGAAAGAAAGCCTTTCCGAGCAAATGAGGTGAAAAATGTGTATTCCACATCCGCCGATTCTATATTTAATAATATATAACATAAATAAAGAATAAATAATTGCATCTAAATACTCGAACACTAGTATTGACATAACGTCGCCTTGCCCTGTCAAACTCGATCATAAAGCACAAACTAACTGAAATGCAAAAAATGCATTGTATGCACAAATGTTGCAAGCTGATTTTACATCACTTTTCCTTTATATTCATATACTGGCTTTTATCTATTCGTGAAGTAATGCATCCAAATTAACATCCTTGATAAGAAATTTAAAATAAATAGAAAGTTTTTCCATCTCCTGAATATAACCAATTTTTAAAAGATACGTGTTTGAGAAAGTAAAGCGCTAATAAGCTACTAGACTCAAGGTATAAGGCTAGACGGTTCGCCCATTACAAACAGAAATAATTGCGATCTTTTTAATTTTCGTTTACTTTACTGTTACGATATTAAGTAGTAGGAGTAATTTTATTCATAATTTTACTTTCTTTTTAGCCAAAAATACATTTACAAATCAAATACGACGTCGTATTACCGAGATGGTGCACCGCGTATTTGTTAACACACTACAGTTTGGTTCTGTATGGATTTTATCAATTGTTTTTAGCTCACATGGTAAGTTTTTTAAATTGCGTAAAAGCTATATTTCCCAGTCTATATTATTGCTATGCACGATCATCATAGCCCTTGATCTAATTCCTAGAATCCTTACTAAGTGAATGTGGGTGAATGGGTGAGAATAGTGAAATGAGTGTGTTTTGTTTGTGAGTGAGTTTTGAAGTAACTAATAAATCTTTAAAGAAATATAAAGATATCTTGGGTCTACTTGTCAGTAATACAAATGTTTGAAACTTAAGACTATTGTTAGTAGGTATACAATAGAAGTATTTAATGACTAAAACACAAAGATCTGGCTCACCGATCATCACCGTCATCGACCCATTTTATACGACCCGCTGCTGACCACGGGTCTCGTTTCACGCAAGGGTTTAGGCCATAGTTTCCCAAAGTGGTCCCTGCCGCCCCTTTGTGGGCGCTGAAGAGTCCTAGGGTAGGAGCCTCAGTTGCAATTGGGGGCATTGATGCTGTCCAGCGGGTGCTACCACATTTGAAATAAAAAACCCTGTATTATCTATATAATTTACACTACATACTTATATACGTACTTTTCCTTGTGATTTTTTTGTATTTGGTTAATATAAAAAATGCGTGTTTTCAATTATTTGTTTGATGGTGGGCGTTGAAATTTTTTCGTTTTGCCTAAGTGGGTGGTGAGGCAAAAAATTTGGGAACCTATGGTTTCCGCCATCGTCCGCCACGGTGGCCCAATGCGGGTTGGAAGCTTCACACGAAATTCAGAGGTGCGAGGCAGGATTCGAACCCAGGCCTTTGCTTGAGAGGCAGTAGGTCAAATCAATAGGCTGCCACGGATTTTTACTCCAATACTTAGATGAAATGACGCAGCATCGAGCTTAGCACCAAACATTTTTAGGATGCTGTTAGAACATGAACACAGTTTCAAAAGCACTGACGCCGTCTTTTACGCATCACACCACAAAATTCATCAACTCGAGTTTCGGCAAACATCAAAGATGCGCTACAATATCGCTGTAGTGCAAACAGCGTTCTGAAATCATTAATATATTGAACACGGAGCGCTACCTGCCTTGAATAATGTTAATTTGGCTTCCTAATCGCAACAGGGAAATCTGCTTGAAAATGTACTTTATAAATAAATTAAAAAGCATAAATCTTTTAACTTAAAATAAGCGGTCGCTATAGAGCAATTTCGATATACTTTTTGCGGAAGCAATGTAGCGGTCGCTAAAGTGTTGATACAATTGTAAACATTCTGTTCATGTATTTCCTCTACTTAAAAATGCGCTACGCGTCACAGGCAACTCCGCAGCTCCAAATTTAATTGTGCCAACCGTACGCGTCTTATTTTGGAATGCACTAAAACATGTCCTTCAGTCTTTCCCGTTAATTCAAAAATGCCAAGAAAAAATAAAATGCATTAGAATAGTATCATCAAGGAAACCAATTATTGACTAATAAGACTTCCGAGTTTTTTTATTTGAAACGACAAAATGTAACTTTAAGAAAAAACAAAGTGCTTTGAAATGCTCTTTTGTTTGTCAATTTCATGTCTCGAGAGCAAACCAGTATACTTTGATGCGAAGAAGAGCGTTTATTATAGTTTTTAATAAGGAAATGATAAACCAAACACAAATAAAACTGTTTGTTTATATTTCTGGACAGTGTGAATTATTTATTGTATTTATTCATATTCATATTACATAGACTCATAAGTATACCTTAAATTTTTTCGCTTGAAAACGTCATTTTTTAAGTTACTGCTCGTTCACCGTGCCGACTTCCCTGAGAAAAACGAGCAAGAACCTCTACGGATTGTTCTTTTCAAATATACATAAATTCTATAGAAACACTATTTTGTTGCACTAATCACTAGGATGAATTTTAATTAGTTCAATGTTTAGACAATTCTTTATTTTGATAATATACAAGTAAGGTACAATAAAAGCTTAACTACTAGAGAGTAAAACTAGGATTTTTAAATTATATTAATAAAATTAGATCCTCAAGATATTGGCAGCGTTCTCCCTTACAGGCTAACATAAGTAATAATATAATACAACACTATTTATTTTATTACAGGGTATGTCACCAATATCAGTCCTGATTCTGGTGCTCTACATTCTCGGATCTCTCACTGTCTTCGGCATGATCCTGGACGCTTCACCTAAAGCTCCTATCCTAGAAATGGCTCGCTGCGTCATCATGATATTTATTGCTAGATGGATCAGTCCTTCCTGGGGAGTTGTTATAAGTCCGCCCTTGCAATTATTCTACATCTTGTCGGCACTGTTCTGGTCTCTCTTTGTCTACAAGACTGTGGAAATCAGAGCCGTTAAATCCTCTGATTAGATAATGATTTTTCCGTCTTACTGATTACCGACTAGTGATTATCTAGTGATTAATTACGACAGACTTCAAACAAATACGACAGTTTTTTTTCTTTTGCCGTGTATTTGTGATTGAAGAGTTGTATTTGTGATTTTTATGTCTTGTTTGACTCAAATAAATGTAGAGTGTTTATGTTGACTGCTTCCTGTTGTTTAGCACGTGTTCGTAAAATGTGTTGTTTAGTAATATTTTGTGTGAAGGTATATGCATGTCGAATAAAACAAACCTGTGTTTATTTGGCTTTAGTTTTCTTTTACATAAACTGGTAAACAGACTGTCCAAGTTATAGAAAGAATAACTGCTGCCTTAAAGTATTGATCATATCTAAAATGCTGCGTGAGACACTGTCTGAAATCTTTTGTACCTACTCTGGCTCTCCAATGAAGTAAAACTTATGTTTTTTAGTATAATAAGATAAGTAGGGTAACTCCATACAAACGTAGCAGCGCAACTTGTTAGCACGCCGGCCACGCTTTAGATCGGATGCATGAGCATATTCTTCAGAGCGTGTCGTCACACGTGCCATTCATTAAAGAATTGAAGCGTACGCTCGGTGTTTAAAAAATGATATCAAATAGTAGACGTATCTATTGTTGTGGCAAAGGTCGATTGAACAAGAGTGAGTGAAATAAGATTTGTTCAGCATATATATTCTATTTCATAATCATACTATATAATAGAAATACCGATCCGCGATACTGGTATAACAATATCAATACATAAATACTGCATTGAAATATAGCACGAGAATACTGTTTTGAAAACCTTTACTTATAAATTATGTTTACAACCTGTACGTACAACTCAAATATTCTTGTCGTATAGATGGCATACACTATAAATGTTTGCCATAGTGGTGAAAGGATTTGCCAATCGGCGTAGGCACTAGCCAATTGTTGTCCAAGGTACAGAAAAGTAGTGGTATGTTGTGCGCAAAAGCTCTTTTCATGCATACCAACGCCTATAATAACTAAAAAAAAGTTTATTAGCAGAAGGGCTTCTTGTGAAAGAGTTCGTCCAGGTTAGTACTACCAGCTTTCCTATTTCTGCCGCCAAGCAGTAATGTCAACTTTACTGTGTTCCGGTTTTGAAGGGTTAGGGTGCTGGTACAATTACAGGCACATGGGACTTGTCAACTTATGTCTCAGGGTGACGGGCGCGGTGGCAGTGCCCCTCAAATCTTTGCGAATTAAAGCTCTGAGTGGCACTGGAACTGTTATGGACAGGCGTGTAGCTTACCATCAGGCGCATGACTTGTTCGTCCCGTCACTAGATACTATAAAAAAAATTAACAACTAAAATAATGATGTAATAACCCTACGCTCCCAGTGAAGTGTAAGGGTGCGTACAGATTAGGCAAATGCGCCTGTTTGCGAAATCTACCCTATAAAGTATACCGAAAATTCAGTAGTCTTTTTTAAAATAATAACGCACACAATCAACATAGCACTAGGGAAAACCCTATGTTACGTGTGTCATAGTCACGCACATAGACAACCACAAATTACATCCAAACTCACGAGAGAAATAAATGTAGGTCATACAAATAATTTCTCCCGGTCCGGTAATCGAACCTGGGACCTCTGCGTGGCAGTCGTAACGTAATAACCGTTCTGTCACTTTGTTTGACTGTTACAAGTGGTTAACCTGTTTTATTTGCAAAAATATAAAATGTTTTTGGTAGGAAAATGAACGGAAATTTTTTTTGCTGCTTGCTTGCTTTTCGTGTTCTTCCCATCTCTAAATGACTTCCAAAATTGAATCTACCTTTTTCATTTTAAGTGTACTCTGATACTTGAAAACCTTTGTGATAATTAAATTAGAGTGAAAAAAAAATGTATTTCAATTCACAAAATCTAATCTAAGATTTTAATATTCATTTCACAAAACTAACTTCAACATTTACGGCAATGAGAAATAAAATAAACGATATTTTCTTTCAGTCTTAAGTGGTGGAAGAAAGCACTAGAACATTAAAAAAAAAATTAACAAAATGGAGTAAAGCCAACATTTAAATGTAAATATTTTGTATTACGTTCACAAAACTGGTTCAGGTCGCTTACAAGAACGTGTCTTGAATTTTGTTTCAAACTTCACAATCTTAACGATTTTCAAGCTTCATTACGACCATTATCTATTCTGAGAATTTTGCTATTTGATAAATATTAACTGAGTCTAACAAGGTTCCCTAGGGAACATCACTAGTAATTATCGCCGAAGGAGAAACATTGTATTCCAATGTCGAGGTTCACTTGAATGTAAAATAGTTACAATAACAAATAACAGTCATCGCAGACAAATACTACAATTAATTTTTAATTGCAAATTCTATGACTTATTTTGAATGCCCAAACTATTATGCCTACAACCAATAAATAATTATGAAAAGTCTCCTCGATGATAACTGCAACCCATATATCCATATTAATAGAAGCCCAAACACAAATTAGCTGTTGTTTATGCGTGTGTTTGGTTCGCCGTGTAATTTAGTTTTGTTTCTTATTAATTTTATGTAATACTTAGTTTATAATAAGCATAAACCATATCAAGACCTACGTCCAGCAGTGGACTTCTTTCAGTTAAAAAGTTAATAACGACGATGTAACCTTTCATTAAAATTCTATAAAATTAATCCGTAAAAACCACGACCGTATATTTAATTTAGGTAAAACGAGCAATCAAATTATTACTAAAATTTGTATAAGGCTTTCGTGACATCAGTCATGTGTGGTGGTAAGATAGTCAAGATTACGAATTGTTTAATTGAATGGTTGAATACAGTTTGATTTTTGGGACCCTTCGGTACAGCTGTTGTACAATGTTAAGGAGTTCCCCTCGTCTGTCGGCCATTTCCAACGTCAGATCAGTTCTAGGATCAGTGTAATACATTTTAGGTATTTTATCAAATGTTATACATTTTAGGTACCTTTAGGAAATACATATATGTGCTAAATTTTTTATTGAAATCTATTACCGAAAAGAGGGTAAAATTCAATAAATAGGATTCATCCTCAAATTTGCTACCGTTAAAGATAAAATATCTTCTTTTATCGAGTTCTTAGGTTTTCGCGATTGTTACACATTGGAAATGAAACTATTTTTCCGGATTTCGGTTGACTGACCGTCAACCGTGACCATGGGACCTGTAAAGGGCCTAAAAAGTCGGTTTGTTTGAAAAAACAAATATACGCGATTTAAATCCGGAAAAATAGTTTCATTTCCTATATCTTCTTTTAATTTGAATGAGACCGCTATTGACCACCTTTACAACAAAAAGAGAATCATTAAAATAAGTTCACACACGTCAGAGTAATCACGTAACATATACAAAATAAAATATAGTCTAATTGTGAACCTCCTCCTTTTTTTTAAATCGGTTAAAATGTATACGATAATTGTATATAAACTAGATTAAGAAACAGAAAGTTGTACTTGGTTTTTTTAATATGTTGTATGTATAAGTAGGTATACTCATTATTATTCAAAACATTGTAACAAATAAATTACGTGTCGATTTTTTAAAATTCCACAATACCATTACCACAACAGATTTAGAAATACTAATTGAAAAAGCAATAAAGTAATTAAGATTAAAAAATCGATCCACGCAAGAATCGATTAAGTTGAGCGAGATGATTGCAATAACAATCAAAGTGATGCAATATGCCTTAGATGTGACATTAGATCAATAAATAAAATTTATAAAGATTAATTATCATAATTGAATCCAACAGAGACATTGTAGAGTTCCTTTGTAACTATTCTAAAACCCTTATTGAAGACAAATGTTCAGTTCCTGCTTGGTAGCTTTTGTGCCGTCAACTTTATTTGTTTTATTGCTGCGAAGTGTTTGTTTCGTATTACTTTTTACATGTATATTATTTCGGAGAGTCCCCAAGAGATACGCTAAAGGAGACAACTCCATCATAAATTCATTCAATCGGATATAAAATAATAACTTTCGCAGTTTGATACCATTTCATCTATTCACTTCCACTGTCCATTAATTCAGTCTTTAAATAATAATAATAACGTCAGTAGATAGCAATTAATTAGTTTATTCACTGCTTCTATAATTCGCTCTAAACTACAGGAGATACATCATAATACAACTGATTTTTAATGTCACGTCGCGAAATCACTGAGAGAAATCGCGCTGTTTACTTTCATAGTATCAGTAACGCAAAAAAATATCTCTTTTTAAAAGCGTTGATTGACTTAAGTACTTATTTTCATATAGTAACATTGTCTCATCGGACTACGTCAGATAATGTTGATTAAACTGAACTGAACATATCCGAACAACAACAGCGCCACCTCTCTGTGCTACCTCGCGCTTTAAACTGTCAAACTGACGTAACATTTTCAATAAACAAATCTTCAAACACTGCTACTTGATCGAGACTAGTTATCAAATCTTACTTGTAAATATCTGTGTCTATATCAGTAAGTCATTTCTCTAAGACTTAAAAAAAACACAATAATATAAGTTAAAATTTATATTTACATGATGTGCATAGTAGTTATATCATGTAAACAATAAATCGAATTCTACATTTCGTTTGAAGTGACGACTGACTCCGATATTGTATGTACATATATTTATACTTCAAATTTCATGAGATACAGTCGAGTACAATGAAATGTGTGTATACATTAATATAGCGAAATATAAGTTAGATTTTCTTTAGAAATATTCATTGAAATCGTAACAACAATCCTCATTATCCATATTCATTAGGCACAGTATAATTGAGCATAAAAGGAAACTGTTTTATTATAATTTCGCTATTATTACTACAGAATACCTACATTAAGACCTTCAATGAGCGACATTTGAATTTCAAATGAAACCAAATCATACGGAATCCCTTTGAAATGTTCAAACTCGCTTAACAACGAAATTTTAATTTCTCCTATTACCAAGTTGAGACGAGTCTCGTGCGGAAAAGTGAATAGTTAAAGTGCAAGGCAGACAAAAACCATGATAAATTATTTCACAAGAATATTAAGCTTGATTTACCACGTACGCCGACTGCAGAAAACCGAAGGGACTGCTGTGTTTCTCGATAATGCACGAGTTGCAGAATATTTTAGGGTCACAATACCTCTACCATATGTTCATGCTAGGGACTGCGTAAAACATGTGATAATTTTATATGTGAAATTTAATGTGCTCCTAACATTCACAAGAAGTAGGCATATGTACACAATGTTTTTACTCTGT